GCATAATTATATAATATAATGCAAACTATTACCCCCAATGCTTTCTTCAGGTATCGTTGGTTTTCCATCAAAACCTTTCGTTCATCAAATGCAAGTGCGGTATCCATGGCAGACAAGCCGTCCTTTTCTACGTTACCCTAAAAACATCAACACGGATAAAGTTAATAGCAGCGTATTTAAACTAAAAACACAATGATACTTAGTTACTTACTCTCACGAACTGCACAAACGACATAAGCTTCTTCATGTACTTTTGAACTTCCGGCTTAGATTTCAGCTCTTTCATAATATCACGGTTGTCGGGGAAACTGCCGCCATTGCTATGATACAAGCTTTTCAATGTCATCAGTGTTACATGTTGCCATGGAGGGAATGAACTTGCAACATAAATGAGACCGTGATCAGGTTTTGGTGGTGGAGCACTAGTTTTCTGCTGTTAAGAGAACAATCAAATGATGACATTTTGCTTTTGTAGGCATTYGTTCTGGCAAAATTAGTTTGAGTGTCCTYAAATATGKAGACATAGTCATAGCTGAAYGAACAAATAAAAAGGCTGAATCCAATACGTAGACTGAATGATATGTATGTACCTTCTTAGTTTTAGGTGCGGTTAAACTTTTGATCCTAAGTCTCAATTCGTGAGTAATGTTTTCTAAATAGGCTGACGCCTGAAGAAGGACATCATCTTCCTTACCAGCCACAGGCCACGAAGCTTTAATGATGCTTCCTTTCTAGAATAGCATACCACAAGGACAATGATAGACATGATTGYATATCAATTAAATTATCATTAATAATTCATAAGCTATTGACCAATCATGGCTTCCAAGTTCGGTGACATGCATGACCTGCATGTTCATAGCGAATAATACATAGACAGCAGTTTCCAGCAGTGTCTTTTACAAAAGAACCATTATCATAATGAAACAACCTCCTCTGTACAAGATACCTACTACTGATTTGCCTTCAGCTCTACTAAAAAGTACTTAAATAGGTCCGAGTATTCGACTAAGGTTTCGACTACTCCAAGTGAAAAARCCGTCGAATATCAGTACTTTTGTGAGGCGTATTTAATGTGGGACAACAAGCGTATCTTGTAAAGTAATTCATAYATGATCAGCCAAATSTATCCTAAACATTTCTGCCGAAAGTCTTAAAGTGCTTGGGTTTTTAAATATAGGATAAAACACTGTTGCTCGTTTTTATATAGTACATTACATATACACTTAAGATTATTATCTCGTACCTTGCCAATCATGTTCCAAATATAATCACACAGATGCGGACAAATTGGAGAAAGAAGAAGAGTTTGYACCTATTAGAAAATTAAACATTACAACAAACCATATTGTACAATGCATATTTTTTAAGATACCATTTTTTCTTTCAATTATTACCTCTATAAACCTGGTAATCAGGTCTTTGTGCATCCCATCAACGCACACCTCGCGGTACTTGTCACGTGATGCTTGCAGTTCATAGAAGCCAGTTTTTAGTGCTTCTCTGTACATCATATTATCGTAGTTCTCCTGAGTAAGACGTATCGCTCGGTTGATTTCACTATAAAAAGTACACGGGTCAGCAAACTTCAGAAATAATAATCGTCTATTTAAAAATTTTGATATCAGAAAATAATTCCGAGACGGAAAAGAAAGAGAAGAAAGAAAGAATACTGGGCAGAAAACATCCATGTACCTTTCAAAAACTCTGTCATCAAATAAATCACAGGATCCTGTCCGAAGAGGCTCTTTTTCCTCCAACATTTCCTATAATTGATTGGTGGATCAGTRTTAAAGATACACTATAAAAACTAGACGTACACTAGACGCTTCCACTATTACAATAAACCGTAATCAAGTACTTTTCCATAGAGTGCTGTCCCACCCATATTACCAATAAACATTGTTAACAATTTCATTMATTTCTGAAGAAATGTTAGGTTGCCCACGATCATAAATTTGCTATTTGATAGCCTATGTTGCTGGGACGGCAAAAACTGCTGCTATGGTRTTGAGTTGCGGCAAACTTGGATGACAAAAGCTCGTCTCATTAAAAAATACGATGAYAATGTCAATATGTCAATCCAATACTTTATCAACACAAGGAAATGACACGTACAACTAATTACAACATATATACCTTAATCCATTCGTGAAATGTGAAGAGACGTAAAATTCCAGCATCAGCCATCTTTTCGACGAAGTTTGCATCTTCCAAGGTATCACCAGCATCTGCCAGGGCCAACCTCATACCTGAAAAGAGCACATTGTATAAAAACCATCACTCCCTACAAGGTTACTTCCTTGGGACTATYCAAACCTAACACTTGGAACGCAGAGGAAAGACAGGTAATTATTTTCAGCGGTCTTCCAACTATCTAAGCTAGCGTAAATATTAATTAATGACACTTAAAAGCGGAGTCAGGAAGTCAAGTTATGRTTCATCAGACATTCTTTCTATTGGTCTTCTTTTCAATAAACATTATTAATGTTGGTTCGCTTTTAMGTTGGTTTTCTCAATTTCCACTCCCCGTTGATGTTTGGGGTTTAACCAAGTCTTTATCTCYGACAACTTAAAGGTGTTCATTGGATCGCGATCATTATTCAAAAGGCTTTCTAACATATAAGTATTTTTGTGATATTCACATTAATGTGAAAAAATCGCACGCTTAAAAGGTTGTAAATTTGATGKAWATATGATGTAAGTGTCCAAAATGATGTAAATTTGATGTAAATMATTTCCATCAAATTTACATCATTTTGGACACTTACATCATATTTCCATCAAATTTACAACCTTTAYGGCGCGCGATTTTTTCYAGTRTTGTTAATTGAACAACACTGCAAATAGAAATTCATATGAAGTAATCGATTTTTTTCTTTCGAAAACAAGTGAAAACAAGCCCATTTTCTCTCGCTGTCATTAAAATAAAACAAAGCAAAACAAAAAAGCGAAGCTAACTAAACAGTCAGGTTTGTCAGTGCCATGTCAGTATTGTCACATCCATAATTAACGACTTGTCGGAGTTCTAAGTAATATATATGACGAGCAAATAGGATYTTTTGACGACAAATATWCACATACAGTATCGTCCAGMCAGCTGAGACGCTCTAGCTTAAAACAATCATGTGAAGCGATCCAGATGAGTTCAACACAAAATAAGGTACTGTTCATAACATAATGCTGAAAGATGAGTTTCTTACATTGAAAACGCAATTTTATATAAAAGGAAAACTATTTGTCACGTGATCTAAAATMATGATTTTAAATAAACAAAATAGCTTACCGTCTGCAGAAAACTTATCAATAGCTTGGCGTAAAGTAAGGAAGTTACCAGTTGACTTGGACATCTGTGAATGAGGTGGWTTTAGAAACACAATTACATGTGAAATTACTGCGACATAACTTTTTATATCATATATAGGAGCTACTATCGCATGACATCACCTTAAAACAAAGTTCATATTATGATATCATAGTTAATAGACATGATATAAAACATTAAAATGAAAGTGCGTAAAATTAAAGCGAAGAAGTTATTTGAAGCCAACTTATATTGATTTTCCATATATCACTTTAAACAGATCAATGATATCTTTGCACTTTAACCATGTTTTAAGTTAAGGGACTTCACTTATTATTAGATTCGAAATTCAAAGATATTGCCATTACCTTTTCGGAATTTAACAATAAATGCCCATTGGCACGAACTCCACGCGGC